ATCCTACTAAATCAGACTTACTTCATATCAAACCCAAATCCTTAAACTCCTCTACTCCTACTTTTATAATGAATAATTAACAAATTGTTCCTAGAAAACCTCATGAGATTATAAGATATCTTAGTATCTTTTATGATGGTAAAGGTTCCTCCAAATCTACACTTGATAAAATTCAAAATAAAATTGAACAATTTCTTACACTCATCTGTTACAAAAAAATTACATCTTTACAAATTTCTTCTCTCTTTAACCTTATCCTTCAACCATCCTTAGAATACTTACTTCAAATTACACTAATCCACTTCAATATTCAAAACAAACTTTTTCGTTTATTTACAATTCGTGCTAAGAAAATGTTAGCATTAGCAAAAAATACTAACAATATAACACTTACAAATCCACTAGCTTTTAACCTACTAACTCTAAACAACATTATTCAAAAAATCAGTGTTTCCAATACTGAATGTATATTTAATACAATACCAATACTTAAAGAAATTGGCATTTCACGTATCAAATCTTGGCTTACAAAAATTTAGGTACCCAAACTCACAACAAACTTACTAACTTATCATTATCGCAAAACACAAAACTTTACATTACTTTTTCATCTATCACAAATAGCTCAAAATAATATCTCTCTTTCAATTTTCTCTCAAATTTTCTCCTATCCTTTGCAAATTCCAGAAAATACTCATACTATTTTTGATATCTTACTACCAAATTCACCTATTTCAACTACTAATAGTCTCAGAAACAACAAAATTATGTTTGTTGAACAAATTATTACAGCTAACAATCTCGATATTTTATCATGAAACAATATTTACCTACATACAAACAGAACTTCTAGAGGTTGTATATCTAATTGGTTTATTCAAATATCTCAACAGAATCAACTAAATAACCTTAAATCAACTTGGCCTCACTTAAACTTACCTGTTATTAATATCTTCTTAAATACAATTAAACTAATATCTGTGAAATTAATAAAAAGTTTTAAAAATTTTATACCTTCAATTGATGATGCAGCTTTTAAAGAGCATAAAAGCAAAAACATCAAAATAGAACTGGTTAAAGTCAAAAGCCATAGTAATAACAAATAAAATAACAGAGCAGATGTACTCTTTTTACTTCTAATATGCATTCTCTTTTATAACTACATTATTTAAACAACTAACAAATCTTCTTATCTTATTAAAACTTTTTTCAACAACACTTGTACTTTAAAGTTACAACATTAATACCAGGTTTTTTACAACTACTACTAATTACAAACTTACCTACTCAAACTTTCTATTCATTAAATATACCATACTATTTATCAAATAAATCCAAAAACTCCACATTTATACAAATCAATTTTAGAGAGATTCTAGCACTAATTCATATACATAATATTACAACTTTTCAAACCACTTCTTTATCTCAACTACAAATATCTCTATCTTCATATGATATTCAACTTATCAAACAAATAATCCAAACACCCACCTATCAAAATCAATTAATAAATCTTCATACAGTTATCTCTAACATGAACACTAAAAACTTACACTTTTATACAGATAGATCTCTTAAAAATCTCCAAACTCCAACTATCCAATCTGGTATAGGATAGATCTGTAGAGATAACATATTGATAAAATTTAATGCAGCTATACAATCATATCCAGATACAACTCGCATAGAACTTGAAGCAATTCTTTTTCTTCTCATAGCAACTACATCAAATATCTCCATCAATATATATATAAATAATATAACTGCTATTAACAATCTACAAATATCCACTATAGCAAAACAAATTCAACTTAAAAACTGAGACAAATTCATTATATCAATTATCAAAAAAAATCTAAAAAGATAACTACTATTTTGTATAAAATCAAATCACACTCCACCAACTCATATTATAATCAAACTGATTCTCTTGCAAAACATAAAACAAAAAAATCTATTCTCAAACTGGATATCTCAAAATTTAATATACCAAACTACTTCTTTTGGAATAATTATCTAATTCCTTTAAAATCTGTACTTTTATTAAAAACATTATAACTATTTATAAACTAGTAAATTGGTCAGCTCTAAAATTCTTTAAAAATATACCAAACATTAAATAAGATCTTAATTTCAAAATTATAAATTTACTTGAAAACAACTTACAAAAATACTTTTTTCATACCAAAATTTTAACTAACAACCTACCTACTATGCAAAACCTTAATATTTGCTATCTTCATCTATATACTACATCAAATTGCTTTTGCTGTTTATATACTGAGGACTTTCTTCACTTATTTTTTTGTTCAAAAAATGAAACTTACATCCTCCAATTACTCAACAACCTAATACATGAAACTCTTTTTTTCTTAGAAATTTCTAACATATTACCCACAACATTACTCAATATTTTTTTACAGTTCACACTTAACTTACGAACTTCTTATTATCAACATATTCTTTATGCTATTATAAGTACTTATACTATTATTACATACAACAATATCAAAGAAATTGCAAACAAACAAACTAATTTCCTACTTCTAAATCTTTCTAATAATTTGCTTAATATGTATTTTCATAAACTTTGGTTTATATGTAATGTATATTAACATCAATGGGAACAAGCTTAATAACAATTACTGGCGCTAGTACATTTCCATTATAGAGTTTTTGCATATGTATATTTTCATTATAGCTTAGCTTGCAATAACTAGAATCAAATACAATCACAGCTAAATTCAAAAGATAATTATGTTGAAGGTTAACAGATTTTACATGATATGCATTTTTTGTTTAGTAAACTACTATTTTATATAGACATTCAATGGCAATGTTTTTCATTTTTTATAATTTAGTGCTTTTATTACTTGGAGTATCATTATAGTAACAGATAATTTCTGTTTTAGTAATAAAGCCCAAAGTGTTTTCTGTATAACTAAATCTTGTTGCAAAATCTTGTTTTATCACATAAGAATTAATATGTTGCTTGAGGTTATACCAGTTAACAAAGATTTGTTTAACTAATATTGTTGCATTGTTATTAATTAAAGTTGCTTGTTTTTTAAATAGCATTATACTATAATGACCTTTATCAGGTTCATTGTTAAAGTTATTATTAATATCAGAGGAATTGCTACTATAATTAGTACTAATATCAACACTAAAGTTCAGTTTATTATTATTGCAAGAATTGTTACTTCTAAAATTTATTTTAGCATTTTTAAATAAGTTGTCACTATGACTAGTACCAATATTAATGCTAAAATTCAGGTTATTAATATTATTAAAGGTATTGTTATTATGACTAGTACTAGCTTTAAAGTTTGCTTTATTATTCTCAGAGTCAATATTTATAGATAATTGTTCAAAACTCATGTTAATGTTATAAAAAAGCAAGAAAATGTATATATAAACCAACTATATAGCTATTTATACTTTTTATTTTTCTATATATGATGTAATAGGATCAATATTAATTTATATATTAAACTTTATGCATCAGTTTAAACTTTTTATTACAATTATTTAATTAGTAATCTTTTGTTGACAAACATTTAACTTATGCATGTTATTTTAATTTAATTATATATATTAATTAAATGTTTATATTTTGCATAACATATAAAATATGTAAACAAGTATTTAAATGTATTACAAATTAAGTCTAAAAATTTTATAAAAAAATTTTTAATTAGTATGATTTGTTTAGAACAAAATAAAGAGTTTTACTATTCAGATTTTTAATGTTTACTGTTCAAAGATGCAGTAAAAACTGTTATAACTTAAACTACAACTTGCTAAAGCCTAGTTATGGCATAGGATATAAAAGTTTCTATCACATCTCTAGTACAACTTTATGTTACTTCTATAATATAAGTTATATAATTGCATGTTTATTGCACAATTGTTTAATATATATATAATAGGTTTAGTTCTGTTTATTTAAACTAAAATTGATTCAATTAAATTTAAATTTAACAACAAAATTATGTTTGTTAAACAAATTACTACAGCTAACAACCTTGATATTTTATTATAAAACAATATTTACCTATATACAAATAGAACTTCTAATAGTTGTATACCTAATTGATTTACTCAAATATCTTAACAGAATCAACTAAATAACCTTAAATCAACTTGGTCTCATTTAAATTTATCTGCTATTAATACCTTCTTAAATACAATTAATCTAATATCTACTCTTTCTACCTCTAACATGCATTCCCTTTTATAACTACATTATTTAAACAACCAACAAATCTTCTTATCCTATCAAAACTTTTTCCAACAACACTTGCACTTTAAAGTTACAACATTAATACTAGGTTTTTCACAACTACTACAGATTACAAACTTATTTACTCAAAATCTCTATTTATTAAATATACCATACCATTTATCAAATAAATCCAAAAACTCCACATCTATACAAATTGATTTTAAAGAGATTCTAGCACTAATTAATATATATAATATTACAACCTCTCAAACTACTCCTTTATCTCAACCACAAATATCTCTATCTTCATATGACATTCAACTTATTAAACAAATAATCCAAACACCTATCTATTAAAATTAATTAATAAATCTTCTCACACTTATCTCTAATATGAACACTAAAAACTTACACTTCTATACAGATGGATCTCTTAAAAATCTCCAAACTCCAACTATCCAATCTGGTATAGGATGGATCTGTAGAGATAATACATTAATAAAATTTAATGCAGCTACACAATCATATCCAAATACAACTCATGTAGAACTTGAAGCAATTCTCTCTCTTCTAATAGCAACTCCATCAAACACCTCCATCAAACACCTCCATCAAACACCTCCATCAAACACCTCCATCAATATATATATAGATAATACTACTGCTATTAATAATCTACAAACATCTACCATAGCAAAACAAATTCAACATAAAAACTGAGACATAATTCACTATATCAATTATCTAAAAAAATCTAAAAAGATAATTACGATTTTGCATAAAATCAAATCACATTCTACAAACTCATTTTATAATCAAGCTGACTTTCTTGCAAAACATGGAACAAAAAAATCTATTCTCAAACTGGATATCTCAAAATTTAATTTACCAAACTACTTCTCTCGGAACAATTATCTAATTCTCTTTAAAATCCGTACTTTTATTAAAAACATTACAACTATTCATGAACTGGTAAATTGGTCAGCTTTAAAATTCTTCCAAAATATATCAAACATTAAATAGGATCTCAATTTCAAAATTATAAACTCACTTGAAAACAACTTACAAAAATACTCTTTTCATACCAAAATTTTAACTAACAATCTATCTACTATGCAAATTCTTAATATTCGCTATTCTCATCTATACACTACACCAAATTGTTCTTGCTGTTCATATACTGAAGACTCTTTTCACTTATTTCTTTGTTCAAAAAATGAAACTGACATCCTTCAATTACTCAACAACCTTATATATGAAACTATCTTTTCTTTACAAATTTCAAACATACTACTTACAACATTACTTAATATTCTTTTACAGTTTATATTTAACTCACCAACTCCTCATTATTAACATATTCTTTACACTATTCCAGGCTCTTATACCATTACTACATACAACAATATCAAAGAAATTGCAAACAAACAAACTAATTCCTTATTTCTAAATCTTTCTAATAATCTACTTAATATGTACTTTCATAAACTTTGGTTTACACATAACATATATCAACATCAATGAGAACAAGCTCGAAACATTACTTCTAAAACTAAACAAGCAAAAATAATTCTACCAACCTCTTCAAACCTATCAACTAATATTACAACTACCAATCAACCAATTAACATTTCTTCTTACATTAAAAAATAGTTTTTATAAGGCTCTTTACTAACAACATGTTTTCTTTAACCTTAGTAATAAACACCTTAGGTTTCCTCTAACGTATCCTAGCTTAAACCTAATTTGAAATAATTAGCAAATAGCATTCATAGGAAATAGAAGATGTAATGTCACATTGGGTGCCAATTTTGTAGCACAAATGTAGTTAGAAATCTTTAATCTTAGAACTTCTGTTTTCTAAAAATGTAATAAAGTTTCTACTCTGATATTATTGAAATAAAAAAAAAAAAAAGATTGTTATTATATTCTTATATATTATATATACATATTGATATATATAATAGTTTGTATAAGATAAGCATAGATGTTTTGACTATTAGTGAATAGGTAGTAAGTTGCAAAAATTAAAAGATATAAGTTGAAAAAAGGTTTTAGATCTATAAGTTGTAAAATTAGATAAAAAAGTAACTAATATAGATAGAGATTCAAAAGATAAGTCAGTAAGAAACAATTTATTAAGTAAAGCTAAATAGATATTAAATAAAGTATTATTATATGTTATTAGTAAGAGTAAATTACTAGTCCAAATTTTTTAATATAAAAGGCCAATATAGAGAAGTTAGTTAGATAAAATGTCAAAAAACAAATATTTTAATATTATATAAAAAAAAACCCTGCCGATGCTCATTGTATGAATTTTATAATCTTTGGACGTATTTGATTTATCTTTAAAGCATTAATTATAGCTATTTGAATTGGTAGAATAAATATCAGACTCGGTTTTCTAATAATAAATTTAATATAATTAATAAAATATTGGCATAAAATCATAGAAAGATATAATAATATTATACTAAAATTTAAAATTTAAACTAAAATAAAGATGATATAAGATAATTAATATAATTATTAATAAATATTAAGTAATATAAAAGATAGCTTAATGATTATTTAAATAATAAGAAAAAATAAAATAAATAATTAAGTTATATATATATATATATAACTAGTCTGATATAAATTATAATTAAGAAGAGTGTGATAACTTAGTGAAATGGTCAGATTGTCAACCCCCCAAGTAGTAGGTTGGGTGTTCAAATCTCATCAATAGCAAAAATTTGGATAATTACCTATGTAATATTTATATTACAGCAACTGTTACTAACAATTGGATTAGAATATCTGTAATAGCAGATACACTAGCATGACTGGCAGATCATGGAATGTCAGTGCAATGTTGAAGTTATACAAAGAAATGCAAACTGACAACTGGGCAGTACAAATAGTAGATAAGTACTTGTGGTTATATAAATCTGTTGAAATTAGGTAACAAGAAGTTCATTTGAGAAAACTTGAGTAAAGAGATAGCTGGATCTTCAACAGCACTATTATAAAGGCTAGCTCAGAAAAATGAATACCCAGATCTTAGTAACCAGATAGGCAAGAACCTCTGAGTTGAGAATCTTAAAAGTACTACCAACTAAGCTACTAAAACAAACTAAAAAAAAAGAATATTAGGCTAACCTAATATACTAATAGACTAGTCATAATTCTATATAGACTATATGAATTAGAAGTTTGATAAAATTTAGAAGTATACTAAAGTAATAGAGTTATGCTGTGAAGTAGATGCTGGAGTCTGAGTAAACTCTACAAAGGCATAACAGTTTAATAGTTAAGCCCTAATTGCAAGAGTTGGTTTTGCTATAATAATACCTAGATTAGTTATAAAAATAGGTACAGAAGGCTCTAAAAGGTTTACTTTAGGAATAAATTAGTCTTAAGATTGAGATAATAATCTGGGTATTTGGGTATAACTCAGTTAGTTAATACAGATTACAGATTCAGAAGATTTAAAGTAGAACCTTTAATAAATAAAGAAATAAAAAATTACTAATAATATTTTACAAATATATAAAAAATTATTATAAAACCTTAATACTAAGATAATAGTTAAATGATTAATTTAGTTTACTAAAATCATTAACTAATAGTTTTATAATTATATAAATAACACAAAAATATAATATCAAATAACAAAATATTATATATATACATAAAACTAGACTAATATTTAATATATTTATAATGATTTATACTAATAATTAATAATATAAAAACTACAGACTATGGTATCTTGCACAGCTGTAAGAGCCAAGCATATGGTAATTGATTCTGTAGAAGACAACTCTAAAAGATTATTTTTAATATCTTTAGCCTTCTATAATTCTAATATATATTTTAGCAAATTCCTTCTTTATTACAACATATATCTTCTTTCTCAAAATCAAACTATCTAAACACTTATACAACATATTAATAAACACAACTACATCCAAAAAGTTACTAGTATCACATTTTCTGTTAATTCTACTTATAGTAAAACTTATATATATCTTCTTAATGACTTACTTCTTTCTAATCATATTATTATTTTCTCTTATTTTCTTTCTAAATTTTACAATCTTTCTCTTAAATTATATTTTTTTAACTCTATTTCTAATATATCAGACTTGTTTCTTAACAGTAC